TATTGCACCCATGAATGAACCGAGGAGTGACGCCAGCTGCACCACACTCCACAACAAGGTTAGTGAAGTGAAAAAGCATCTGTGACTAATTCAGAGTAAAAGAGTAGTACTAAGTTGCAGGACTTCAATGCTTATGGTAAAACAAACCAACAAACAAACAAAGAACTAATATATAAAAGTCAAATTTGTGTTCTTTTTACCAGCAACCGTTATGTTTTTCCCCCTAGCACCTGGGTCTGCAAACTTGAGTCCAACCTCAGTCCCCCCTCACCAGGAGGGTGAGGGGGGCTGCCATAACATTGACTAATGGAATAATTGGGCTCTGTCAGACTAAAGGACTTTAGCAACCTGTTTCATATTGTGTGCATGAAAGTGTTTAGAAATGTGTGTGGTAGCTTTAATAGGCCATTTGTGTGAAGATGCTATTAGCAGAAGTGTAAACATAAATATTTCTGTATCATTTTTGTATTATTTTCATGACAGTTGACCAAAACCAAAAAAGTGCTAGCTTACTTACTGCCTCCTTTTCTTTCCAGGTTTACATATGTGGTGGTTGCGATGGCATTGACCGCCTGCAAACAGCTGAATGCTACAACCCAGAGACTGACCAGTGGACGGAGATCGCCCCCATGAGTGTCAGTCGTAGTGGAGTTGGAGTCATTGCATATTCAGACCGTGTTTTTGCTGTAAGTACTGCACATGAAATGCTGACACCCACATACATATCATGCAAACTGTGCGAGTTGTGGAAAGTATTAATAATTAGATTTATGTTCTAAGCACTGCCACAAATGTGCCAACCAACCAACTGTATCGTGGCTAAAAACAGAACTTATCATTAGCTATCAAAGACCCAAAATTAGTCATTCTGTGACTAATATGGAGGAAAGACCAAAAACAAAACTTTTTTTTAAAATATAGAACTTCTGATCCAACATTTGTTCATGAATCCAGCCTTTCTAAAGAGAAACTGGTTCTGCCTCCATTTAAACATGTAACCAATTATTCTATTTCTCTAACAGGTTGGTGGCTTTGATGGCAACACCTGTCTGCAGAGCGCTGAGGCCTACAACCCCCAGACCAATACCTGGCACACAGTGTCCTCTATGTTGACCCCCCGCAGCAATTTTGGCCTTGAAGTGATTGAGGACCGACTGTTTGTTGTCGGGGGCTATGACGGCAACATCCCCACCAATTATGTCGAGTTCTACGATGCTGCACGGGACGAGTGGTCTGAGGCCTGTGACATGGCGATCGACCGCAACGCCCTGAGCTGCTGTGTGGTGTCTGGACTCTCCAACTTGACCAGTTACATTATCCCTCGTGACACCCTGCCACCTCTAACTTTGGAGGATGAGTTAGAGGCCTCCTCCTAATATTGGAGAGAGCTCAGCACAGTCTTGCACAGTCTTTGCAATAGAATAATGAAATACATTTCTTTGAACATGAAACTTCTGTCATTCTAGTGACTTCTATATGATTTGAGTCTATGTGAGTAAGTTTTGTGTTTTATGAGCAGGGTGCTGTCCCCAGTTTCGTTGTCGGGGGCTCTGACGGCAACACCACCACCAATGAAGTCGAGTTCTACGATGCTGCACGGGACGAGTGGTCTAAGACCTGTGACATGGCGATCAACCGCAGCGCCCTGAGCTCTGAGCTGCTGTGTGGTGTCTGGACTCTCCAACTTGACCAGTTACATTATCCCTCGTGACACCCTGCCACCTCTAACTTTGGAGGATGAGTTAGAGGCCTCCTCCTAATATTGGAGAGAGCTCAGCACAGTCTTGCACAGTCTTTGCAATAGAATAATGAAATACATTTCTTTGAACATGAAACTTCTGTCATTCTAGTGACTTCTATATGATTTGAGTCTATGTGAGTAAGTTTTGTGTTTTATGAGCAGGGTGCTGTCCCCAGTTTGCAGACACAGGTTTCAATTCACAGTGTACCACTGTAACAATAACACGTTTATAGCATAAAATGTCCCAGAAACCCCCTGTGCCCAGTTGCATGATTGTCCATAGTTAATAATCATACTTTTAATAAGAAAAAATTCTAAACAGTGGTGGAAAGAAACTAAGCACTAATTAGTTTAGTAGTAGTAATTTAGTAATAGAGTTGTAATTTACTCAAGTGTTGTACTTAAGCTGATTCATAGTGAACACAGAGAAAATGCCCCCACGTACATATACTAGTCTGCACAATGAAGCTCAAAGTAAAGTTACAATGATAAAAAGTGGGGAGGAATTTAATAAAAAGAAAAAATGTTCAGGTCAGATAAGTTGGGAATCACTGAATATACACACAGCAGGAATAAAAGAGATAGAGAGATGTAGAGCACAGTAATCCAACCAGAACGGATATGGTCATGGACAGACACCGATAGAAATTTACAACACCTAGAGAGTGATATATATAAAGTGTAAACAAGCAACAGATTGCCTTACCACCCACCCACGCACACACACGGCTACGTGCCAATCCCCCGGAGGCATCCCCGTTGCCCCTGGCAGCCAGTGCTGGTAATGGTATTGCACTGGCTCAAAAAGGAGTGAGGCTTGGTGGTCACCACAGGACAAAACGTACATGCAAGTGAGCTGAATGTGGCAGAACTGGGCTGCAAAGGTGAGAAATTAATGTGCACATTTTCATCAGAGATATATAATGAGATGCATTACAACACTTAAATGACCCCAGCAACAAGAGTGATGGCTGAACTGTACGTCTCTGCAATTTGGGGGAAAAAATTACATCTGATCACAAGGTCCAGTATAAATATATTTAATGGTTAGTTATCCTTGAGAGTTTGACATTTTTATTTGTCACACACCTATTTGCTGCTTCAGAAGCTTTCCCAATCTAATCTTTCTTTTAATCACAATAAGTCCATCAAACTAGACAATAAAAGAATGGATGTCATAAAATCCACAACTATAATCTATATTTTTATAATAATGTATCAAATGGCAATGTCAAAACTATATGACAATATAAAAAGGAATTACTTGTAGTGAAGAAACTACACAGACGTATCGCCTGAATCTACGGCTCCCCTCTACTTTAGAGAGCTTTATCAGGACATTTCGGCTCAACCGGCCTCTGGCCCAATGGCAGCTGGGATTGGCTGCAGCTCCTCTGAGACCCTCAAGGATAAGTGTGTATAGCTAATGGATGAATAGATGGGTTCACTGTTGTCATGGTGTTTTCAGCCACAGCAGGCAGCT